GGGGGGGCGCTAAGGCAGAGCGGGCAAGGGGCGAGCTGGCGGGGGGCTGAGGGCGAGCAGAGGGAGCAGCCGGGTGCAGGGGGGACACACACACAACCTGGGGGGGCCGAGGGCACCGGGCTCTGCCCAAGGGTATCCCAGAGCGAGCGGAGAATGGGCGACCCCGACGGAAAGCTTCGCCTCCTCCCACGCTGAGCTATAATCGGGGGAGCAGTCACAGCTCAGCGGTTATGGCACACAGGTTGGCTTCCCTAGTCTGGACCGTTTAAAAATACAATGTCTTTCTTTTAATAGCTCCGTTTGATCGGCTCCCGCTAGTTCACATGACAGGGTTTTCCTAAAATATCTTCTTCCACCAAGTTTTTTCCAGCTTAAAAATGCTGAATCCTGCTACCCAAATTAAACTCAGTGCAAAGCGAAAAAAAAAAAAAAAAAAAGAAAGAAAGAAAGAAGTGAAAGAGGGCTGGCGGCTGCCTCCGGACTGCTAGCATTCCCCAAACCGGCATATGACACAACTGTAAGATTTCCAAGGCTTTTGGAGAGTTCAGCGAGAGAATCGTGTCCTCCACTGGCTGCAGCTTCCCCGCTGAGTTAAACTTTCCTGACGGAACCTTTCTCCATCTGGCTCCGGCTCCCAGCGCGTTGTGAGCGGCTGCGGAGGAGAAGGGGGATGTAGTTCAAGTCTTATATAACTGTGCAAGCTGGATGCGGGGGCAGAGACTTTCCCTAGAAACGAGAGATTTTTTTATATATATATATAGTTATTTTTAGCTTCCTTTTTCAAAGGAAGGCCAAATACCTCCGACTTTCCTTTGCTTTCTTATTTTGGTATCACTAAGGGATTTTATTTTTGGAGGTAAGGAGCTATTAATAGCTAATGTTTTTAGCTATTTATTCCCTCTTTAGGAGAATACTTCCTCTTCCTTTCAGGGGCACATTTCTGGACTGCATCCCTAACCCCCAACAGCAGACCCACCTCCCCACCGTGCCCATGGCACCCTCCGGGATTTGCCAAGAGGACGCCCGGCTTTTGGGGACAGGGGAGGGGGTGCATCTCCTGGCCCTGGCCCCGGCCCCGCTCCCTGGCTCAGGGGGTAGGTTTGGAAACCGACGTCGTCCCGGTGAGCGGCGCCGGGCTCC